TGTTTGTTACAAAGGTGGCCAACAAGAGAGGAAACCCGAGAAACACTGCAACCCCACTGCCTTTTGATGGAGGTCGTGCCACGTCTCAGAGAAAATCAGCAGGGCAGTGTGGGCCAAAGGATGCTACCCCAGCCCCTCAGGAAAGGAGCTGCTAATACGCCACCAGGAGACTGATCTCCACTTGATGCACTTTAAATAACAGAGTGAAAAAAAGGACAGGAAACAAGGAGGTGGAAGAGATGCAGCTCAAGTGCTGCCCAAGGCACTCATCTCCTGTCTCCCTCTCATTTCTAACCGTTGCCTGTCAGCTCCACAATGCTGGGAGCTCCTGGATGAGGCCCATCCCATGTCAGTACAAGGCTCCCCAACAGCTTCTGTTGCCTGTTATTACCTGTGCAAAGCACAGCCCCATCTCCTCCGTGGGTGCTCCCTCCCAGGGGTAGCTGACAAAGGAACAGCTGAGGTATCTCTGTATGTACATTATTCCTTTCCCTAGGAAGCCAAATGTCAGAATTACTTAGCATGGAGCACACCCAATTTTTTTGGCTAACTATTTTCAGACAGCAAGGCTCCAGAAGACCTCTGATTATCAAAGACAACAGCTTCTTTGTAATGCTGACTCTCTTGGCCCCTTGCTCACCCACATAAACTCTGACCCTCAACTCTTCCTGCTCAAATCTGAAAATCCCACATCTTGTAGCACAAATTCCTATTCAACACTGGAGTGGTTTTGGATGCACAGCCATCCAAAGAACTTAACAATGAATAAAGAGTGATCATGTATTTTAATGTTTTTGCAAATTCAGATTGTTTTTCCTATGAGGAAAAAAAAGTAGAAAAGTTGTGACACACCGGCCAAAGTTTCCATTTGCCTAAGACATGAAGGCCCTGGAGCCTCTCAGAAATTATCACCTGGTCTCATTCTGTGAGGCATTTTACCTGAAGCACACTCCTGAAAGTGGCAATGGCCTATGCAAGTACATGAGAAATTCAGAGCAAACAACAAAGTCATTTAGGACTGTTCAAGTGAGAGCCACTTATTCTCGTATTCTATTATCCCACGCATTTACCAGGGTGTCCAGCTCCTCACCTGCAAATAGGGCAGGGTGGCTGTTCACCCGAAATCAGAGGGGTGGTGTAAAGACATGCATTGAGACCTGCCTCCAGAGCCCTGCCATGCAGGAACAGATATATTTAGGATTGCACATACCAGCTCCGATACAAACACACTCAGTTATGAGGATGCAAATGAAAGCAGCCATAAAAAAAAAAAGAAAAATAGAAGACTCTTGGTTAAATCAGAATTGTCTTTTTGCTGTAGGAATCCAGTGGTTAAGTATTTGTGACCTTGCTTCCATTAAAGAGTTCCTGGAAATGCAGATGCACCTCCTGTTAACGTCAGTGAAATGTCTCCTGTGGACTTAACTGTCCTCAGATCTGCATCTTGCACAAGACAGCGAGCGTGTGTGTGGTACTGGCATGGGGGAAACAGCTGAACATGTACAACAATTAGCTTTAAAAATGTAAGATTCCGGCTATTGTTTCATTTGCCTGTCCCTGGGGATCCTCAGCATTACTGTATTATTGGTGATGCTAAATGGGGTTTTCAACAAAGCTGGTCTGAAGGCTTGTGAATGCCAAAACAGCATTTCAACCCATTAAACTTCACAGACGAAACAACTTCTTCTAAAAATAACCATCGGTTCTTCCCACTAGAAAAAATAAAAGTCTGGCCAATTCCTACCGTGCCAAGTTTTCAGGCAGTCCTGATTTTTATGGCTGAGCTTATTAAGCTCTGAAGAAAAGCAGGTTTATAATGGAAACAACCGACAGAGCCGAGTTATAGGTGAAGAGCAGCCACCCTACACAGCAGAGCTGCCAGCAACTGCTGGCAAACACATTCCACCTTCCTAATCCTGAATTTTCCTGTTCAGAGGAAAAGATGAGATGTCTTAGCTCCTGCTAACACCCTTGCCATTATGTTGATGCAAACAGTCACGAGGCAATTACCAGCCCAGCCAAGGGCCAGCCATTGTGGGGCTGACAATAGATTGTCAGAGGAGAAACAAATACCCTCAACCTTCTCCAAGATTTTAAATCTCATTAGTATAAATCAGTAACCCAATTAATGAGGGGTTTAGCATATTGATTTGCATCAGGTTACATAAATTAATGACACAAGTAGTGGGAGTCACTGTGGCAGGACATGCTGGGAAGATGAGCAGCTACCCAAGGGAATACATGAAAGGGGGCACAAGCACCCCAGATTTTGTGATAGGGATGAAGCTGCTCCCACTCAGCTCCTACACAACCATCAGAGAGACAGATGTTACCTGGCTGTTGAAATGAATCACAGAATCATAGGGTTGGAAAAAACCTCTAAGATCATCAAGTCCAACCATTAACCCAGCACTGTCAGGTCCACCACTAAACCATGTCAATGACTAACAACTGAGGCAAATCTACTGATGCAAACCCATTTTAACAGTTGCAGGAATCTCTGGCTGAGGGTTAAATGAACATAGCTTGCAGGGGATGACCAAGGTCCATGGCTAAGACACACTGCTGCCCTGCTCCTGCTGTAACACAGGGCATAGATAAGAGGGGCAACCTTGTCTGATTTGGGAAAAAGGAGCCAGCAAAGATTTGGGAAAAAGGAGCCAGGTCAGAAAGGAACCACGAGACCAAGACACAGTGAGCAGGCTGAAAAGGAGACCAAAAGGGCAAAGGGCAATGAGGCAGAGCAGGTTCAAGGAGGAAAAGCATCTCCACCAGCTACTCTCCACCTATCCACCCGACAGCACAGGGATAGTAACCGGAGGAAGGCAACACGACATTAGGATGCGCCATCAGCATCCTCCAAAACCTGCCTAAAGGTTTAGCAAAAGCCTCTTTTTCAGGGCTGCCTGCTCCTTCTGCACCCAGCTGGATCCCCAGCCCTGCCAGGCTGCATAGCCCAGGGGATCATGAAAAGGATAGTCGTCCCTTCCAGAGGAGAGGGACAAAGGGATGGGCCATGCCCAGGATGCTTTCCCCTCCTCCCAGGGCAGGCAGCCCCTCCTTGCTCCAACAGTTATAAAAGGGCTCTCCAATCCATGTAATCCATTAGATACAAATTACAGCAATTTGAGCACACTTGACCCAGAATTACAGCATGCCAATAAAGAGCTGTGTCTTCCCAGGCAATTTACACTGTTACAAGCCCTCAAACAAACCACAGCAGAGGATTAAACAAGAAAAGCAAACCAAACCCAGAAAACTTAATGCTGAAACAGCATTATTAAGAAGTGAAAACCATTACTAGGGTTAGTTCACACTCAGGTGGTCCTAAAACCACCACTATTGCACCATCTCTAACCAAAATGTGTCTTGCAGACACCTTAAACCATTAAATTCAGCCACTTGAAAGAAGATTCCACAAAGCACAGCACTACACATTTGGGATGGGGACTGCAATGTTTCTGCATCAATTTTCACCCCCTTCTACACAGTTTTTGTGTTCTTTTTTTTTTTAAATTACCATCAGTCCTAGAGAACATTCCAAGGAAGAAAAACAGTAGAGATCAGGCAACCCTCCTGCCAGCCTGGCAGGCACTGCAGTGTTGACTTAAGGACCACTGCAGGCAGATGGCCACTAGCCATCACATCTGGCAGAGTCACTGCTGTTATCCCAGTCAGTACAGCTTACATAGAAAAAAAAAGCCATCAGCATTAAAAAACAAACCCAAAAGTTCAAGTTATTTTCTTCCAACAATCAGAGGTGGATTTATCCAGGCTCGGATTTCCTGCAGCAGCAATGCCCACCAGCTTACACACATACAATCCTTGGTTCTCAGAGTGTCCAGGATGCTCCAGGCTTGCCAGTGCTGGCAGGACCCGGGTGTTTTCCACTCCAAGCAGTGCCAGTGGCACAGGCTTTCCCAGGGACAAGAGAAAATGCTGCAGTTTTATGCTGGCAAGCAAAGGGCATGAACAGGGCAGCAGCCCCTGGTGCTGGCTGTCACTGATCTGGCTACTGCTGTCACCATGGGGGGACACTGCCACATTTATGGGTAGGAGGGAAGAGGGTGGCTTTGTGGGAAAGGAGACAAACAGGGCTGGCAATTACTATGGGACACACGATCATTAAAAGCACCCCAACAGACAGAAGGGATTTTTATGTGCCATGCTCCAAGATGCCCAATGCCAGATGCTACCATGAGAAAGGAGCCAGGACCACACCGGAGGGGGCTTGCCCTGTCCAGCAAGGCTTACATCCAGCAAAGCAATTAGGGGATGGTGATGGAAAGTTCAGCACCATCTGGTCTAAGAAATGACCACTGTACTGAGAGGTTGCACCTCCTGATATTAATACCCCACACTGCTTGTGAGGACAAACCCAGGTTGGCTCAGCCAGGGGGAGGAGTAGGACCCTGTCCTGGGGTGTGGAAGGGCTCCTCTTGTTGCTGTGGTCATTTGCCCCAGCTTGGGGGGGGCACCACTCATCACAGCACAAAACAAAAGACTGATCACAGCAGTCCCATTATGTGCTCTCCTTTGAAACACTGACCGCAGCAGTCCCAGTAAGTGCTCTGCTTTTCCCCCTCCACGTGATGACTGCAAGGCTGTGGCAGCACTGAGCTGCACGTGTTTCAGGAAAGGCACCTGAGCTGTTAAAGCCTTTAAGTCCTTTTAAGGGCTGGATTTTTTGTTCCAGCTCACTGGGAGACAGCACCTCCCATGCTGCCAAGGACACCACCTTTCTGTTTCATTTTGCATTTGAAGCTCATTACCAACTCCAGTAACTCTAATTATTAATTCTACGTATGGGAATTTTTCTTTAAATCATGCTTATAATGGCAATGGTTATGTGGAAAAAAGGGAAATACTTGAAGGAGGGGAGTGCATGCTTTCCCTGAAGTCAGCAGTATGACTTGTCCCTACCCGTATGGTTTAGTTTACAAGCTCATGTCAGAGAGCCAGTTTCACACACAAACACAAAATAAAAGCAGGAACACAACTTTTGATCATCCTACATTGATGTTTACTCTTGTTTCCTGTAGCCCCAGGTGACAAATCTGTCCTTTATAGAGTGGAAGATCACTGTGCTATTAACAAAGTCAATTGGACACACCTAAAATTGATGGCAGGTCTTTCCATTGGTGGCTTGTAACAAATTAAGGAATAATAATTAGTAAGCAATTAGTTGTAAAACGATAAATATAAATTCAGAAGTGTTTTTCTTTTCTGAGCAGAAACGCTCAGAAGCAGGAGAATTTACAAGCAACTTTCTTACATATGAACACTTACGCCAAGAAGGGAGATGTTGGAGCAGGCAGCCCCTCCCAACACAAGAGCTTTTGTTCCACCAATCTCTGAACTCTGAAGAAGTTTTATTTTTTTATTCTTTTTTTCTTCATTTAGCTCTGCTGGCCTGCCAGCTGGGTATGAGCCAGAAGGGTTATCCAGTCAGACCTTACTGCGATATATTTACAATGGTAGTGCATCTAAGGTTTATTTCAGGATTAAAATTCAAATGGCTAGAACCATTTAAATAATTAAAGGGCAATCAGAAAATGCCATGAAACCAAACAAATCAGGAAAAGTCATGGAAACCATCAGTAATATTTAATTCAGAAATTCTCTTTGTTAGGGAACTTAGCTGAAAGAAAACAGCTGGATGTAGTTCAACCCTCTAAATTAAAAACAATCTAACAAGGTCTATAGGGATAACTCTTTCAGCTACATACTGGAGACCAGATTCACTTCTACCAAGTAAATGCAATAGCACTCAAAGCTAGAAAGGAAATTCCTCAGAACTGAGGTAGTTTCTAAGTATCAGCACATTTTCCAATTCCTTGCAAGGCAACTTAGCTATTTACAATCCACTTTTTCCCACACATAAATTTATAACTTTTTCAATTTTATGGTTCCATGATTTATTTTCTAAAGAAAAATAATCTAGCCAGAATATCCCTAACTCTACTAACATCATGTTTTAATAAATAACTGGCTACTTCTAGTAAAATTAAGCCTCCAGGATTGTTTATACCAGCCAAGAATACGTCTTTATAGCTTTGCAGAAATTTGGTGTGAAAATAAAGTTGAATATAATGCTGACCCTGAGCTAACAAGTAATTAATGCTTCAATACAAAAATAGAAAATTATCCTTTATGACACAAGGGTGGAGTAGAGCAAACCCTCTCTCTCTCTGGATTGCTCTCCTGGCCAGATCTCAGTGTCCAGTCAGACCTGAAGGCTACCCAAAGCAGGAGATGTGCAGAATAATTTTGAGTCTTTTTAAAGACACTGCTTTCGCTAAACTCTTTTAAAAATTATTTCATTTTTGTTCTTAAAAATATACACTTCTTTTATTCATGAGTTGCTGTTCACCACAACACTGTTCCAATTGCAACAGCACAGGCAGAGAGAGGAGAGTGTCTCAGGTAGTGCCAAAAAGCTTCAGGTGCTGGGCATCAGCTCCCAGGAGGCCAAACACCAAAAAGGAGGTGTCTTCAGCCCTGCCAGCTCCTGCCTGCTCCTACTCCCATCTGCCTGCAACAGTGCCTGCTCCTTCCCTTTTGCCCCCATCAGAGAGGAAACAAAACTCTTGTAGAAACAAACCCAACCCCCCCATCTACCCTCCCACAAAGGACTCCTTAAAACCAGAACCAAAACAATTAAAAAAAAATCAATCCAGCATTCACCTAACAAATTTGCAGACAAGACACAAACTGGCATTTGGATCTGCGAGACGACAAGTTGCTTCCAACCGAACAAGTTTAATGCCTCATTCCCATGGGGGATGCACATCAGGAACTGACCCACGGGAGTTACAGCCAATTGTAAGGATCCTGGGGAGCAAATGACATCTCTTCTTAGCGTCTGCAGAACGGGAATTCTCTGTAGTCCCTTCCAATTTAACCAAACCTCCTGTAAAGCAAGCACAACCTGCTCCTGGCATTGATGCCCTATACAAACAGGGCCCTTGGCACGCTGACCAGCTCTGCCTTCACCTTCTGTTTTACCACATAATAAAGACAAATGACTTCAACCTCTCTCCAGATAAGGCAACTAACATAATGTGGATAAATGGGAAGTTAACTACATGAAACATTTTCTGCTTGTTGGGCAATTATTTTTTCCCCATAAGATTACATGATAAATAAAACCTGCTTCTGTACAGATATTTCTCATTTCAGAAACACATACTTGTTACAGGCCAAGAGAAGACCCTGGGGTTTTTGTTTTTGTAAGAAATACAGCAAAAGAAAAAAAAAAAGAAGTGATAAAGACACAAATGCAGAGCTAACTACAGGCTTGTATATACATTTTTGTTATCCACCTCTAAAATGGACTCTTGGTGAACAGGATAGACTGGTAGTCCCCGTTCCTGTTATTCCCAGAATAGCAAGGGAAAAAAAAATAAATCAGTATCTTAAAACCAGTGGCAACATAGTAAAAACTGTACACTGTTGTCCATTAACTTAAAAAGCAAAGTCTCTAGATGGTATAAAAGTGAAAGCAGATGCCTTCTACCTTTGATAATAAAAGTCTTTCCCCCCCCTATGCTGCACAATTATCTCCATTGTCTTTGCATGGCCAAGAACAAAATGCTAAGGAGCAAGGCTGCTTGCGATAGACCGCTCCTGGCAGCGGCAGAAGTGTTCACGTTCTTATCGCTCTTGTTGGAGTTCCGAGTGACCTCGGTGGCGTTGAACTCGAACTCCGGGGAGCACTGCTGGAGCTCGCAGCCGCTGCCGCTCTCCTCCCCGCTGCTCTCCTCACCTGTGGGAGACAAACACACCTGCTATCCTCCTCTGCTGTCTGCAGCCCCAGGGCAGAAGGCAGCAGGGGGAAATGGCAAGGGAATGGCTGTTTTGGTATTTACAAGATGTCAGCGCGGGTCCTGTGGTTATGTGACTGCTGTGTGCATCTGTCAAATCTGGGCGATGCGTGCTTGCAGCCCAGAAAGCCAGTTGTGTCCTGGGCTGCACCAAAAGCAGTGTGACCAGCCAGTCAATGGAGGGGATTTGCCCCCACTACTCCGCTCCTGAGACCCCAGTTGGAGTCCTGCCCTCAACATAGGAAGGATCTGCAGGAGCAAGTCCAGAGGAGGCCACAAAAACGCTGAGGGGCTGGAACACCTCTCCTATGAGGACAGGCTGAGAGAGCTGAGGTTATTCAATTTGGAGAAGGGAAGGCCCCAGTGAGACCTTACTGCAGCCTTTCAGTACTTCAAGGAGGCTTATAAGAAAGGTGGGGACAAACTTTTCAGCAGACCCTGTTGCGATAGGGCAAGGGGTAACTAAAAGAGGGTAGATTTAGACTAGATATAAGGAAGAGATTTTTTTATGAGGGTGGTGAAACAGTGGCACAGGTTGCCCAGAGAGGTGATAAGCGCCCCATCCTTGGAAAGACTCGAGGTCAGGCTGGATGGACCGGGCTCTGAGCAACCTGTTCTAGTTGAAGATGTCCCTGCTCAAGGCAGGGGGGTTGGACTAGATGACCTTTAAAAGTCCCTTCCAACGCAAACAGTTTGATGACTCTGTGGGAACAACCCTCTTCACACAGCCTGTCAGAGATGCCACTTCCCACCCTCTTTACCAACACGCTTACCCACAGCTGAAGGTTAACCAGCTGCCCCATGTTAGCATGAAATCCAATTAAAAAGGGAAAAAAGAAAAAGCAAAAGGCGAACCACAGCAAACATACTTATGTCAATGAAGTCGACATCGTTCCCACTGTACGCGTTCTTCAGCTTGTTGGTCATCACCCGCAGAGCCATGATTTGCCGGCGAATCACCATGTCTGGCTTGGTAATATCAACTTCCACCTCCGGGTTGTTCACTTGACTCGCTAAGCCATTTCCAGTCACCGCAAAGTCATACCTGAAAAGAAACCATTCCTGCTGGCACCAGAGCTGCAGCCTGGCAGGGTCCCTGTGACAGCATGGGAACTTGGCAATGCCACCCCTGTTTTCAGTCTGGGTGATACTCTGAGCCCAGTGTGATCTTCCCACGTGCTAAACCTCACAAAGCACCTCTCTGGCTTCTTACTCCATCTTCCCTCCCTGCAATCTCTGCAGCATGTGGAAATAAACACTGTTTTCATTTATGCTGTGCCACATAGGCAGGGGAAGGACAATTTTCTCCCCAACTTGAAAAGAGAAAGAAGATCTGGGGTTTATAATAATAATGGCTTTCAACAGCATAAATCAGCTTGCTGCAGGCAACAGAGCAAAACAAGGTGCTGAGATGCCTTGATGCCCAGTTAGATGACACTTTTGGGAAAACAACCTTCGAGGCCATAGTTATCCCAGAGAAACCTATAGTAACTGTTGGAGGTAAGCGTGTAATTCTGGCTTTGCATAATGCACCTTAACCATCAAGCTGGGATATTGAATGTGTGCTTCTCACCATGCAGACATGAGATGCAATTTCCCTAATAACCCCAGCAGGAGAAACACCTGTGATGCTGAAGATGAGAACCTGTAGCCCCACACACCAGAGGAGGGAAGAGCCAAGCTGCTCAGCCTCAGAAGGCATGCATGCTCAGGTCTGAACACACGTACAGCCTCTTAGTTAAAAAGAGAGACTAAGCAACAAAATCCAACAGAACACATCTCCTGAAACTGGTCTTTGGAGCATCATCTTATAGAGTAAGGATAGGACACATTTCTCCTTCCTCCAACTACCTGACTTGCTAGAAAAATCAGTTTAACAGAAGAAAACATTACTTTTCTTAGTTCTGATACCAACATCAGTATCATGAGAGAGAGAAAAGCTTTTAGTACAGTCTACTGATTCTAGAGACCAGGCAGTGAGACAAAGCATATGTGTGAAGAGTATGCTCAAATCCTGTCCTGTGTATGGGAGTAACAATGATGATGATTATTGGTAGTGGTAGTTTTGTTATTATTTGTGATCAATATTATATGTTTCAAAGAAGTCGGAGACCAAAGTGTGGAAGACTACCAAACTTTTAGCTTCTCAGAGTCACTGGGAAAATGCTAACAGCAAATCAAATTATCTTGCACAACCCCATATGTCCAGCCCCCCCTCTGCCTCCTTGCCCAGTGCTGCCAAGTCTCCATCTCTCCTCTGTACTCATGTGGCCCTTGCACACACTGGGGATACCTGCTATGAAAAACCCTGTAGAAGCTGCTGATAAACAAGACTTCAGGAGGCAGAGCCATTTCTTGTCACAGAGACCCAAAGCATCACCCTAGCCAAGTATGGCAGAGTTTCAGGCACAAACAAAACAGCGCAAAATTTAAGCAGTATGTCTTAGTCCTGTGGCCCAAAAATATCAAGGGCAAAAATTGCTATTACTTAGAAAAACTGCTGGAAAACTCTGGACAACTGTTTTTTTTTAATGGAACATCTCGGATTGTGCTTATTTCCTCAGTAAGCAAAGAGAAAAAAAAGAAACTTGTATTTCCAAAATAAAAGTTAAACAGTTACATAAACCATATGACAGAAGAACTTTGGCTTACTCATGTGTTGGCAATTTCTTCCTTACAAGAAAAAAAAAAAAAGAGTTTTGTAACTCTTTTTCCATCAAAAGTGTGAATGAAACCACTGGCCTCCTTGTGCCACTGCCCTCAGCAGTGGAGAAGGTCTCCAGGCTCCATCACCCCTGCCCTTGCTCAACAAAGAAACCAGTTCCTGGTGCAAATACCAACTGGGAGCACTGGGGCAGCAGCACTGTCAGACAACACAAGTATCCCTGCTCTGTGGCTGTGATACAGCATTTTGTACAGATCATTTCTCCAAATCCATAAACAACCAATAAGAGGCTTAAGTCCAAGAAGAGGTGCCCTATCTGGGTATCTACACTTAGTTCTCTCCTCTAAAGCAAACCCCCACATAGAGCTTGGACAACCCTTTGGCTTTGCATTCCAGTTCTCTCATTTACAAAAACAAGAGGGGTAATGGCAACAGCATGTCTTGGGAAAGCTGGAGTCACTCCAGTAGGAGAAGAGGGCTCAGAGAGAGAGGCCAGCACACTGGGAAAGGCTGGGGCAAGAGGGAGAGGGTTAACGAGGGGAGGCAGCATCGCCAAACCTGCTCTTGGCGCTCCCATTCCAGCACTCGTTCTCATTGACAGTGCCTACAGACATCTTTTCATCATTGCAAATGTTGCCAGGGAGAGATGACCAAAACTTTTTGGCTTGCTTCAGCTTCTCTTTCACATCAGTAACCTATTAAGCCAGAGAAAAAAAAGAAATACAAAACATAATCCAGAATACCAAACGCTCATTAAAAGCAAAGTAAGGAAAGTATTTTTTATCACAACAGACATACACAGGCCAGATCTTCAGGCTGCGCGTTTTGATGGTTGATTTACTTTTTTAATACGAAATTAAACACTGCTCCTCAAACACATATTACTCATAAGCCAAGCCCTTAGCACAGGCACTTCTCTGACATAGAAGCGTTGAGGTAATTCACGTCTAGAGCCATGGGCAGATTACACCCCACAGAGAGTTAAAGACAGCCAAGGAATATTAAGAAACCCTATAAATTAAAAATGGAAAATTATACACTGTGGTACACGGGTGTGAAGCACCTGAGTGGCACCAGCAGGACCAGGCACTCACCAGTCGGTCCAAGCTCGTGCCAGCAGCTGTAGTTGGCCGCTCCTCGGGGTTGTAGGGTCTGAAACGAGCACTGAAACCACTTTCAGAGACAGAGCGAGCAGTCCGGCCTTGGGCAAGTGTTTTTGGCTGGCCACATCCCTGGAAAACCTATGTGAGAGAAGGAAAGGATTTTATGAAATGGGATGCCACAAAAGCCTCCCTTCTCCAGGTTCCAACCCAGCCCCTGCCCAAAATCATACATCAAGGGCATTCAGGAAAAAACATATTGATGAGAATAGCAAAATAAAACACATTGAATAAATAAATCCCAAATGTCCTCTTGGCCCATTTACCTTCTGAGACACCTGCATGCTGTTCTCCTGCATGTTCATGATCGCATCTGAAATTTTCACATCAATGGGGTCCATGACTGACTCAATGTTGAAGGGACCCTCCAGCCTTTCTGCTACCAGCAGCATCGAATCTAACACAGAGAGAGATGAATGAAGGTTTTTAATGGAGGAGCTGCGAGAATAACGGGTACAAAGGATAACTGTTTGAGCACACAGACATTAACCACTGCAGTGTTGCCTCTGACCAGTGCACGTCTCCAGGAAACATTTTGCTCCGTTCCCAGAGCCTACACCTTCACCAGGCACTTAGAGGCTGCCAGCACCAAACCACGGGCTCATGTACATCAAAAGCCATGTTAAACGAGGGGGAGCCATTGCAGCCTGCCAACAGCAGCCTGTAATCAGTTCCTCCCATCAGAACAAGCATTACTAACAGCCTCCACTCCGTGCTCATTTATTAAAGGTTGCCTTGTGTCATTTGTTTTTCAAGACTGCTTTCAAAGCCACTGGCTTCCTCATGCTGGCCCTGAGCACAAGACACCAACTTCCAAGGGTCCAAGATGATCCTTGATACCATTTCTCCCTTACAGACAGCTACAGGGTTTTTGGCACCTGGGGAAGGCAAAGGATTGCACTCCCAGCATTACATGGACAATCTGCATGATGGAGTCTGCGTGAGACCAGTTTGAATGCTGTGCACTCATGATGTATTTGGCACATCTCTAGGCAAGGGGAGAAGGAAAGTCCCTCAGCCAGCACTGGGTCACTCCTCCTGTGCTGACATGCACGTCCTCATCAAATGCATCATTAAACACAGCAGCTACTGAACATCCACCACTTCCTCTGGGAAATTACAATTGGCAATTGGCATTAAGGCTTTCACCTTGTATTGTGTTTACATCCTCTCTCCGGTTCTCCTCTAGAAGGTGCCTCCAGGTACACACCTGGCACTAAGCTCTTGTTTCTTCTCACCCATCACAACCTTAATTTAATGGTAGTTTTCACTGTGGTCCCTCAACCCCAAAGCATTTGCTGGTCTCATCTCCTGCATCACTTCATGATGCTCTGCCACAGACTCATCTTTTTCCAGTTGCACTTAATTCTTCAATTTTTCCTAGCCTGAGTGATGAGGGAGGTCAGGACACAACAGTCCCTCCGGCCCTAAGGAGCTCCTCCCCACTCCTAAGATACGCCTGTTCCCTTCCATTAAGAAGAACAGGTGTTTCACAGTTAGTCTATTAATCTTGAAAAGTGTTTCTCATGACATTCATCCTCCTCCTAAGTGCAGAAGGTATTTTCAACAAGCAGAAAACTTCTGTGGGCTCTGGCAATCTGTTAAAGCCCTATAAAGAAATTTGACATACCAAACAATTTAGTAACAGCTTTGCCTTAGTGCCCAAGTCATGTTAAACTACATTAAAAACCCCACAAACTGGTGACAACTATACGATTAAGCTATGTGTGCATGTAAAGAATAATAATAAGAAGAAGAGGAGGACGAGTAATAATAATAATAATCCAACACCAAAACTCCCACATGAACTGTAGATGTCTTCCTAGCCTGTAAATTCACTTTTTAAAGACAATTCAATATTCTAAAGTTTTGTTGGGTGTTAGTCAAAGGACTATCAGTCGATTAACCCACTCTCACTCACGCAGCTCCTCCAAGGTGTGGTTGTTTGGGGAGTGAACCTCAGGAGGAGCTGGCATCCCCAGGAAAGCCCCTGGTTCTGGAGGCACACACCACCAGCATCAGTGACAGAGCTGTTGCAGGGCATGGCTGGAATTTAGCTGTCAGGGACTATAAGCAGGTCTGAACTAAATGCATTTAAAAAAAAAAAAAAAAAAAAGAAGGTAATAACAAATGAAACAAAGAGTCTTAGACTGTATTGTGGTGGGCTCCAATAAAGTGATGCTTCAAATCTCTGAGTAATGACTGCTAGCATGAATATACTATTGTGCTGGAGGAGAGAAAAATGCTTTTGATGTGCTACCAAATGGAGACTTTTGTAAACAAGTGGAGCACAACTTAAATGTGTTCATCATTGTCAAAGCTTTTGGGGTTTTTCACGCGCATAAAGAACATCCCGGTGCAGTTTTGCAGGAAGCCGCTCATTTCAAATAAAAATATTATGAATCGACAGATAATAAAACACACAAAATGCACAGGGCTTTTTTAAAAAAAAAAAAAAAAGAAAAATCATTCCATTTTGTAACTACTTAATTCTTCGAGTGGCCAGGAAAGGCCACAGATCAATAAAGTGTTTGTGAAAGACTGAAAGGAAACATAAACCCCAATTCTTCTGGCTGTTTGGCATCTTTGTAAACTTTGAGCCGGGCAGGCCATCCACAAGACCATGGGAATGTAGAGCGAATTGGGTTCTTTGTTAGCAGGGGTGCCATGGCGTTCCATGTATCACAGCCCAGGAATGCAGCCTCTGCTTTGACTGCCGATAGAGAAAATGCATTCGGCCTCCAGCAGAGCTGCCAAAGCTGGCAAGAAAAGATAAGGAAAGTAATAATTGGAGTTGGGATTGATACAGGCAAGGAGCACTAAATGAAATAAACTTTCATTAAAAAGCAGGGAGGGGAGAAAGGGGCTGAGGGTGGGGGGCTCTCCCTCATCTGCAGTTTTGATTTTGGAGGCATCCTGCAAACTTCTACCTCCCACCAGGAGCTGGCTGGTGTCCCCAGCTGCTGGCGAGCAGCAGTTCCCTCTGGCAGCCCCGTCTGACGTTAATAAGGCTGGCTGGGGTTCCGGGTACCGCCGGCACCGCTGCCCGCAGGAGGGGAGGATGCTGCTCCAGCACCAGGAATGAATCTTCGGAGCCATGCCTCTCCCAAAAAAGATTTTCCATTATTGGGAGAGAGGAGTTGATTATAAACAGCAATTATTTTGCCCCAGCTCTGGCGCAAAGTAATTGATATTTATAAGCCATAGCGAGGTGGCTCAGCTTTGCTTCATGAAAGTCTGGCAGAGTGAAAAATGTACCCTGGCCATGTGTTACAAACACACAGCATGACAAAGACAGCCTCTCCTCCCCGTGATGGGGAGATACAAGTGGATTTGGGGGGGGAAAAAAAAAACAACCATCTAGCACCATCCCTTAAAGACCCTTTTCCTCTTGCATACATTTGTCCTTGCTACTGGCATTGAGACAATCCTTGGCAACAAAGCACCTCGCTCTCATGAAGGAAAGCAATTCTTTTGCATTGTGCCACCAATAATCAGAAACCCACATCTTCAGCCTCACTGTCTGACTTGAAGAACAAAAGGCAGTTTTCAGTCTTAACCCCAAGATCTGATTTAAAAGGGGAGGGAAGGAGGGGGAAGACCTTGACCATTCATTAACAACAATCTTTTTTTTTTTTAAGGGGAAAAAAATTCTTTGCACACAAAGTAGTACTCCAGATATGTATATGGAGCCTGAATTCGACATCTTTGAGCAGAGTAAACCTTTGTGGGGGAAAAAAAAATCATGAAAAGGCACTGGAGATTAACACTGTTCATTCAGGAAAGCTCCAACCCCCCAATAGCCTGTTTGAAACAAAGTATACCCCTGTCTAATTGGTGTACAATTGTGTCAGGAATAGAGGGAGAAATAATTTAGATAGTTAAAGGGGAGAAAAGAGTACAATTCGGTCATTATTTCATACTCCACAGATTTAAATGGTACTTTGGAGAAATAAGGAATTACAAAGTCTTCTTGTCTCAAAAAACCTACAAACTTTATATTCGAGCTTGGAAAAGCTTTACATAAGTGACTTAACATACAGACCCACTAACACACACATGTGAGTATTTCATATGCACATGCACCCAAATTAATATAGATTTGCAGCATTTGTTGCAAGTTCTCCTGTTTAACTATCTTTAAATTGATTTGCTAGGTTCAAAATCTGATTTCGACTCATAATAAATCATCGCCATAATGTGGTACATAAACTCATGATGCAAAATCGCATTGAGCTCCTGCAGGTGGGGTTTTGGTATTTTGTGGAGTGGTTTTGAGAGGATTTTTTGGGGTCTTGTTTATTTATTTAATTATTTACATCTTTAAACACAAACACACAAGAGATTTGTGGTACATGCCCTGCCCTAAACACCAGATCTACATAATTTAATTTGTCTCGAGAGGAAAGTTGAGATAGAAACCAAAATCTGGAACATAACCAGCACCTGTTCAGTTATTAAACTGTCTAAAGAAAGCACAGCTTAAATTTTCTGTATCCGTACTCCACTGCAGGCATCAACCCAAAGTGCAGGAACCAAGCAAATACTGCCAATAAACTTAACGAAGCTTAATACCATACTTAAGTAATGAGTGGGCAGGAAGCCCCTTGGGAAGGAAGCACTTCAAGAAGAAAGCTTTGCTTCCAACCTGGAATCACATGTATTTATTTTGTCTTGTTTAATAATCTTAATTATTGTGTGCAGTCCCTATCAGTCTCGTGTGACAGGGCTCGCCAGTTTCCCCCGAGGTTCGTTTTTAGCCGCATACCACCTACAGCAATTAGCTGCTTGTGCTTTTGTCTGTTTTCTGGCATTATGCCCTTCCCTTTCATGGGATTCCTCTTTTCTACTTGGACTAGATGTTTGCAAGTCTCCTGGCTTTGAGCTATTTCAGCAACAATTGTAGTTGAAATACTTAATATTCTCATGAGAAAGACGGCTTGGAGGAATGGGGGGGCGGGGTGTCAGCCTCCCAGAGAATGACTTGGAAACCCAATTTAGTGTCACATTTAACTCCCTATATGGAGTACACACACACAAAAAACGCCTTCTGAAAATAACACCCTGCACATACCCAGTTGGCAGAGCAGCAAAGTGAAAATCCAGTGCACAAAACACGGAAAAACACATTCTAAGATGTAAATCTAGCCTCAAATGCCAACTATCAGCAATTTCCCTTTTTTTTTTATCTTGCAGCTCAATGAAAGGGAAATCTTTTCTTTCTAACAGTCTTTTTTTTCCCTGAGTGGGATGGGAAGAGTACCGCAGCCTTTTCAGTAGCAGCAGATACTTTACATGTGCACTTCATCACACATTAACTGGAGTGAAGCGACTGCTCCCAAAGGATGCTCAATCACAGATAAATCAAACCTCCTGGAAAAGGAGCACAAATGAAAACATTTAACATTATGTATTGCCTGTGCCCACAAAATGTGATGCATTGCCAATTCTGATGAGCCTTGACCCAAGGAGGAATTTAACATTTCAGTCTAAATTTCATGTATCGAATGATACCGTGTGTAAGCACGTAAGAGAAATAACAACCAGGAGGAAAAGGATGGCAAAAGCACTCACATAGCGTCACGCAAGACCTATCAACAGTGCAAAAGGATAGTGGCTGAGTGCCAAATGAGCTGTTTAAAAACAGATTCAGACACATGTCCTATTCAATTTTTTAATGTAAAATCCAGGTCTTCAGCTTTTCCCAAAGCTCATCATGGCTGGCAGGAAGATTCCCAGGCTGCTGAAGAAGAAAGCTGGCTTTGGAAAAGACAGCTGTATGGTGACAATAATGTATAAGAAGTAGTATGGAAAAAACAGACTGTACACACGCTTGGTCCAGCAAGAAGAGACACTCCAAGCCTACAAGCACATGGCAGCTCCATGCTCCTAAAGCTTGCTGCAACAGAAGTCACTGGCATAACAAAAGTCTCATTTATTTATAAGTTAATGTGAATGGCAAAGGTGTGCTGTATAGAGAGGTGTGGAAGGAAAAGATATCCATCACAGACACCTGAAAAATCTGCTACAGCTCAGCACAGCCACTCACAAAGCCATTCAGGTGAGGGGCATAGTATCAGTGTAGACTCATATGCAGTTTTAACCCATATTGCCTTACCCATAAAGATATTCCACTCAGCATCCAAGTCCCCTTGGTTGGCCAAGCAGCCTCTCATGACGTTAAAGCAATAGTTGTAACAGGGCTTCACTGATACCAAACCTCGGCAGTGTGGGCAGTACATCATTTTCAGCAGTGCTCGTGTACCCTGTGGCGTGGGGTTCACCTTTAAAAGAGAAAAAGAGAAGAAAATTAGCACTCCGTCACTAACCCACACATTTACCCCAAGGTGCATGGGACAGAGCTGTGCAGAGGAGATGCAAGGGCTCAGCCATCACCATCCAGTCAGAGCTCCCTGTTTACATGGTCCAGGGATGTGGGGAATGGATGAAGGGGTCTAGCTCACCTCCTTGGGTGTACCTGCCACTCCAGGGGCCACAGACAGTCCTCACCTCTGCAAAACATCACTTGTACTGCAATACACCTTATGTGTCATGGGACCCCTCCCAGGGTTGCAAGAACAGGAACTACAAGGGGACATGCAGCACTCAAGCTCAGGGAAGGCAGTAAAATGTGACCAAGTCAAATGATGTCACACAAGGCTGCACTATCTGAGCCCTGCTGCAACCACGTGCAGAAGAAGATGATGCTGGGATTTCTCAGGAAAAAGTGTCCAAGACAGGATATCTGCCACTGTCCCCGTACCAAACCCGCTGGGAGTGTGCCCTCCTCCTCGGTGCACACAGCACTCGGCTCTTCTGGGACAATCGCCCAGCAGGGCTCTCCGGCACAGAGACCAGCTCCTTTATCTCACATTCAACTCCTGAAACACAGCATTTACATGACAGATACCCGGGTTCATTTACACTCAGCACTCATCACGCTAAGTAACAGTTCCCCACACCCGAAGGAAGTGGCAGCTACAACCCTGCAGCTGAGGACAAGGCAGGGAGGACCCTTGAAGCAAACACGCAGCCACTGGGCGTGTGAGCAGAGCTGTCTGCAGCAGGCATGTCACCCCTGAGCCCTCAACAGGGCTATTTTCCAACGTGACTCATGGTCATTCATGTTTGATTCACTCTCTGGCCCAGCTTCAAAACATTCATTGAAACCATTTCCACCCAGCCAGTCCGAGGAGCATTAGCTCCATCCCAACACACTAGTGCCGACCACATGGTGGGACTGTCTAAAGTGTTGAACAGAGAAGCTCCCTCAAGAGCAAGTTTAAGTGTTAATTAGCCACATAGGAAAACAGGAAATTTAGATTTTCTGATTTAGTGATCAGAGATACACTGACAAAACAGAAGTGGTCTCTGGTGTTTTAAATGATGCACTAGAGACTCCTTGTAAGGCATTTAGGGAAAGTGCTCTAAATAGGTTGTGATCCATGACCATGTTGGAGGAGACACACAACATCCCTGAAAAAGAGGGAAGTCACTCCATACAAAGTGCTGGAGATGTGGATGGCCTCCACATCTCATCTCTGGAGTTGGGAACAGACTTCATGGCAGAGAGGACAACAGGACTGAATGGAGATGAATGTACACGAGGAAGATCTGGTACCGCGCACATGCTGAGGACCTTACTATTGCAAAGCCAATCTCGGTGTGAAGGATATGGAGAAACTAAACATGATCTTCTGGTGCAAAAACTAGGTGGCAACAAATGAAACTAGGAGCAACAGATTTTAAAAAAAATAAAACAGAAAAGTTACATAATCAGGCTGACATCAGCAGAATTTTAAACCCTCTTTTCTTATGAGAAGAGATGATAGATAAAAATCTGCTGTTTCTGACAACCCCAGAAAGACCACGATTTCCCTTCAGTAGGCAAGCAAACTGGTTAGAGAGGCAGAAGGACAGTTTTCTGCAGTTGATGGAGCTCAGTGCTGGATTTTGGCTGGCCAGCAATGTTCATCAGACAGCATTTTACCCTTTTTTTGTCCATGAAGAGCCTGTTTGGCTGAGCAAAAGGAAACTCCATGTAGAAAGCTATTTGCGGTGATGGTGGAATCTGATTCAGATCCTTCAGAGAATATATACATTTTATATTTATATATATATATATATTTGGAAGGCATAGTGGGAGCAGGAGCCCTAGCAGAAAGCTCCCTATTGGGACAGCATGGCTTTAAAGCAGAGCTGGTTCAAACACTGGGAATAGCTCAAGCAACAGAAACCAGCTAAATCAGATGATTTATAGCTGGAAAACTGGAAACAGACAAATGTAAAGGTATCATCTGCCATCCAGATGGTGCAGTCCTTGCATAACAAAAAAGTTTCGAGGAGAAAGAGGGAACTGAATAACATCTCGCACCCAGAGACGAGCTCTGAAGGATGCTCCAGTTTAGCAGTTTACTTGTTTCTCTGATAAAAATCCCTTCCTATGTCACTTGGCAGTAGGTGCCAGGACCTCCGTGCCTAGTCCTGAGGCTTATCAGCAGATCCTGGCCATTCTAGCACTCCTGGCCCTCAAAGGAGTGCTCTGCATCCTCCTTGGAAAGAAAAATTATGAAAATGTTGATAGTACCAGCCAAGTGCTAAAGTAGTTTGAAGCTGAATGAGGAGCAGGAAGCTTCCCCAACCCTATCATGGAAAGCTGCAGCTCTATGGGAGGGATTGCATGGCAGTGAATTGCAAAAACCCACACGCAGAGCCATGACCCAGGAGGCCCCTTCCCATCTTAGGTTCCCCCCTCGCCCCACGAGCGCCGAGCGGCTGCAAGCCTGCAGCATCCCCTGCTTTGATATTTCATAGGGGTTGATCTTTAAGAATCCCAGCAGATGCAGGGGAAACTGAAGCTGCTTTCCCACGTTCCATAGCAGACGATATGCGACGGTCACTCGGATTAGGTCCTTTGAACAAAGACCCAGGATGATTTTAAAAGCGAATGAGGTTTCGCTTCCTTCCCCAAGTAGGTTTGTGGCTCTGAGTCCTGCACAGAGCTGAGCAGAGGGTGCTCACAAAAGGGCAATGGAAAAGACAAACCCCAGCCTGCAGTGACTGCTGAACTGAGCCCTATTAGTGATGGACACCATCCACAGGGAAGCTGTTAAGTGTGCAATACAGTTAATACAGATAAAGAGGAAGACAATGGACAAATTCATCAGTCCAGAGTTGGCATTTTATGGTGCCAGAAAGCAACAGGAAGGCACAAGCAGAGTTCACCTCTAAGAGAGAGTTTTGGGTAACATTATGAGCAATTACACCTCATTACAACAGTGATAAATGCTTAACTGCTGGGTATCACTGCAATGAGAACCTTAACCCCTGGCACAGGGCCCATACCCGGTCCAGATCAGCTCCGGCTCTGTCAGTGGGATGTGCCATATGTTGCACTGGCAATTCTTCACAAGCTTTTAATGCTGGCCCTGCCACACCAGGTGCAAGCTCTTAAAACACCATTGTATGTAACAGTAAATCCAGATATGCTTTGTTCTAGGGTTGTGTTTATCTTGGAAAGCAACTCAGGTTCATTCAAACTCTACTCTAGAATGACCCTCAAAACCAAATAGTCTCCTTTCTAATAAAGCAGAGTCCCAAAGAAAGCTTTATTTGCTGGAGAGGATTTACTCTGCTAGATCTGAGTCCAGGTACTAGTATGCTGCAGCACACGTACCCTGTAAAAGCTTCTAATAGAAGCAAATGCACTCCAGTCCCTTCCTTTTATCTTGTGAAATTTATTTCCTGTCCATGGCATGCCATGCCACTGCAGCAATCCATCACCCTGTGGTTTCATGTAAATTACAATTTGTCCATATCTATACGCTTTGTCAAACGTGAAGATTAAAAGCTGCTAACAGATGTGTTTTGGCACCAATCTTCACATTCGTATTGAACTTGCTCCTTAAAAATACAGATTTGCACACAACTTACAAAAATTAAGTGAAAAGAAACCAATCCTGCGCTTAATGCAAACATTTCGTATCATATTTGTTGGGATAACTCCCCTACTCATATCGACTGGTGAAGGTAAAATCATGTTCTTGTAAAAGTGCCATGCTCTTGGCATAATAAAATCTGGGGTTTATTGGTACCTTGTTATACCCATCCCATTTCAGAGTCTCACATAAGGGAAACTGCCTTACATCCTTAGCCTTTTCCAGCTCACTGGCAATTGCAGCTGGATGCATACATCAGGTAGAAACTTCACCATTAAAGTATACACCTATCAAGTGCAATGCCTTGATCACAGCCTATCACAAAGCCACCAAAACTCAAGATAAACTGATCTGTGCAAGCAGTCAAAGTTCAGAAAAGCAACCAGATTCTTTTTTATCTCCTTCCCAAGGCAAGGGATAGCTGAGAGAGGATGACAAAGCTCCAGCTATGGACAGTCCTGCAGGGAGCTCCCACCAGCTGCCAGCCAGAGACACGTTTCATTCTCCCACTCTACCCTCAAGTTAACATTAAGAATGTTAATAATAACATTTAAAATCCTGTCAGCTTTAATAACTATTTATAATAACACTGATAACTCAGGCTTTCTTATTTTCCAAGCTTACACAACAACAGTGTTGCCATGCCAGCAGCACAGCCACCAGAAAACATAAAAATCCAACAATCTGAAAATAAATGCAGTGAAATTACTTTTGTTTTATACTGTGTTTTCTTTGCGAAAAAATTAAATGAGGGCAATACTGGCTAGGGAAAACTAAAGGAGTAACTTCTCAGTGACATGGAAAGACGATTTCAGAAACACACTTCAAAGCTGACTGTGGGATGCTCCAGGTGAGCAGTCAGTTTAGACAACTGAGGTGTCATCGATTTTTAGGACCAACACAACCTTATTTGCATCATTTTTTCCTTCTCTCAGTGTTGTGCAAGAGCATCATCTTGGCACACACTGGTCCAGACATTCAGCTCACTGTAAGGCAGAAGATCGCTCAGGAGGCTCTTGGTTTGCTTCTCCACCCCAAATATTCCAATGAAAGTGTTTTGGAATTAACTACGCATTTAACCAATTTTGCTGGCCCGGTGCTAGGACATGAATAATTTCGACAGCATCTGTTTCAACCACAGAGTTGGGCCTCTGAGGTCTAGCATAAGGGAGCATATTTAGGAATGGTATTTGGGAACTGCAAGACACTGTCTCATCAGTATTCGCTCCCCATGGTGATGTCTGCTGCAGCTTTATCTTTTGCAAGGAAAAGTTCAAGAGTACATTTATGCTCAATTCCCTATTTACAGCTTGCTCCCCCCACTCCAGATGTGACACTGCCCAGAG